GCACTGCCGAAGTCTACTAAGATGGTCATTGTTGGCACTACTCTCATTTATTTTTTTTTTTTTTTTTTTTTTTTTTTTTTTTTTTTTTTTTTTTTGCTTACGTTCATACTTCTTATGTCTAACTTTTTATTTATTTCTTACACTGGACTACTTATTTTTGACATGTAGAATTTCTTTAACCATGGAGAGAAAAAGAAAACAAAAAAGTGTAATTTCATTGTAGAAAAAAGAAGAAAAAAAGGTATATACACCATTCTATTCTGCCTGATATCCTGTCTTTACCTACACAGATGTGCTTGATGAACACACCTAACCGTTCACGTATTGTATTACTCCAAACTTCCCATACCTAAATTGGCACTTTAGTCCACTAAATCCGAAGAAACTTAATTCCTTTTATTTATGTTTTACCTATTCATTTATCTTTTTTCTACGACTTTCTCCTGGGTCCTTTCTGTTCACAGTACCCCCCACCCCCCACTACTACCCCGGGTCCACCATCCTGGCCAAGTACGATGTATACCATCTATGGTCTATGATGTAGGACTTTGAGTTGTAATGGGGAGTGAAATTATCTCTATCTATATATCTGTCTCTCTTTCTCTCTATCTATATATCTATCTATCTATCTGTCTATCTCTCTCTCTTCCTCTCTCTCTCTCTCTCTCTCTCTCTCTCTCTCTCTCTCTCTCTCTCTCTCTCTCTTCTCTCTCTCTCTCTTCTCTCTCTCTCTCTCTCTCTCTCTCCTATTCTCCCTTTCTCCTTCTCTCCTCTCTCCTTCTCTCTCTCTCCCTCTCCCCCCCTCTCTCTCTCTCTCTCTCTCTCTCTCTCTCTCCTCTCTCTCTTCTCTCTCTCTCTCTCTCTCTCTCTCTCTCTCTCTCTCTCTCTCTCTCTCTCTCTTCTCTCTCTCTCTCTCTCTCTCTCTCTCTAAAACAAAACTAATTAGATTTCTCCTACCCATTTGCCTAAGTCTTTCTCTTATGTAAATGTTTGTTATTTTGATCAAAGGTTTTATTTATAGCTTACGGGTATTTTAAGCAAAAATTGTAACGGATTTAAAATCATCCAAGTATCAACACTTGTTTTGTGAATTCAGAATGTATCACGATAATTGAATCAAGAAATGTGAATCATTTGTGCTACGGTTTTGTCAAAGAATCGCCTCTTTGCACATGTCAAAAATATATATATATATAATTCATTGGTATGTCCAACATCAGCTTTTTTACTATGATGACCTTTATAATGCATCACATTTGCCGGCGACTTCCCGACCTTTTTGCCACCACGGATCCTTTTATTTAAATTAATTTTCCAACGGACCCCAAGTTCTAAAGGTCTGCTAGCTCTGCCATCTACACCAGGGTTGGGAACTCGCTGGGATAAATCATAATTATGAAAATTGTCTCTCTTTTTATGGGTATTTACCTTAATATCCTACATGAATACAATTGAGTTTATTATTCGTAAAGATCACTAGTTGAGAGAAAGGTCTGGCCATGATAGATAGGTATTTACCTTAATATCTTATATAAATATTGTGTGTGATTCGAAAAGATTACTAATTGATAGAAATATTTAATCGTGATAGATATGTTAAAATCCTTATAAATGAGAAAGTATATTAGATTAGATTGCGACTTGGATTCGAAATTATCCATTATATATGTAATGTTGGTATCATCGTCATTGTCTCACTGTCGATATCATAATAAAAAAAACAGTCCTCCTCTTCTCTCTACTCTTCCTCTTCTTTCCTCTTCTCTTTCAACCCTTCCTCTTCTTCTACTTTCTTGGTCTGCTTCTCTACTCCACTCTGCTCCTCTCCTTCCTCTTTCATTTCTTTCCGCAACCTTCTGTTCCTCTTCTTCCTCATCATCAGTCATCTATTATCATCATCATCATCTCCCCTCCTCCTCCTCCTTCCTCTTCTCTCCTCTTTCTTCTCTACCTCCTCCTCCTCTTAATCACCCCTCTCCCCCTCTCTCCTTCTAATCCTTCCCCCCCTTCTCCCCCTCTCCTCCCCATCCCTATCCTCCACTTCTCCATCCCCATCCCCCATCCTCCTCCTCCTCCTCCTCCTCCTCCTCCTCCTCCTCCTCCTCCTCCTCCTCCTCCTCCTCCTCCTCCTCCTCCTCCTCCTCTCCCTCTTTTCCAACCCCTTCACCACCACCACCACCACCAGCCGCAACAGTTACCGGAAGTCATGAATATGATTAGCCAGGTGATCATCTCCAGCTAATTAGGGTCCGATTAGGTAACCTGGCTCCAGGATCCCGGCTCCATAAGGCCTCTTTTTAGCTCCATTCTCCTTGGGTTAATTAACGCCCCCTGAAATATGATATGCAGATAGAGGCTCCTGGACCATGGTAATGACGGAGTGGTGAAGGAGGGAGGTAAGGGGAAGGAGAGAGGGAAGGAAGGAGGTGGGATAGGGGAGGGATGGGGAGAGGGAGAGAATGTGGGAGGACGGGAAAGGAGAGAGGTGGAGGAATGGGAGGACGGAGTGGTGAAGGAGGGAGGAATAGGGAAGAAGAGAGGTGGGAGAGAGAGGAAGGAAGGAGGAGCGATAGGGAGGGATGGGGAGAGGGAGAGAATGTGGGAGGACGGGGAAGGAGAGAGGTGGAGGAATGGGAGGACGGGTGGTGAAGGAGGGAGGAGAGAGGGAAGGAAGGAGGTGGGATGGGAGAGGGAGAGAATGTGGGAGGACGGGAAGGAGAGAGGTGGGGAGAGAGGGAAGGAAGGAGGAGGGATTGGGGAGGGGAAGGGGAAGGAGAGAGGAAAGGAGGAGGAGGGAGGGAGGGATGGGGAGAAGGAGAGAATGTGGGAGGACGGGGAAGGAGAGAGGTGGAGGAATGGGAGGACGGAGTGGTGAAGGAGGGAGGAAGGGGAAGGAGAGGAAAGAATGAGGAGAGAAAGGAAGGTGGGAGGAGGGAAAGGGAGAGATTGAGAGGGGGAGGAGAGGGAAGGGGAGAAGTGAAGAGAGAGGGAGGGGGGGAAGGAAGGGGGAGAGAGAGGCGAAGAAGGAGGAGAGAGAAAGGGAGAGGTGGAGATAGTGGAGACAAGGAAGGAAGGAGAAGGGAAGAAAGAAAGAAGGAAATGGAGAGGACGGGGAAGGAAGTAGGAGGGATGGGGGTAAAGTGGAGAAGGAGCAGTCTTGGAAGGGGAGAGGTGGGAGAGAAGAGGCGGGGAAAGAGGGGGGGCGAATGGAAATATGAGGAGAGCAGAAAGGAGGAAGGAGAGATAAAGAGAGGGGAAGAAAGAAAGGGCGGTGGAGATAGGAGAGAGGGGGAAGGAATAGATGGAGAGGGGAGGGGAAGGGAGAGAGAAAGGAGAGGAAGATGAGTGGAAGGGAGAGGAAAGGAAGAGAAGAGGAAGAATAGGAAGGGAAAGATGAGGAGAGAAGGGGAGCGGAGAAGACGGGAAAATAAAAGAGGCTGAGAGAGGGAACAGGAGAAGGGGAGAGAGGGGAGAGGAGAATAGGAAAAGGAAAGAAAGAGAGCGGGTGAGAAGACTGTGGGAAAAAGGGAGAGGGAGAGGGGAAAAAAATGAAGTGAGAGGACAAGAGAGAGACGAGAGAGGGGGGGGAGAAGTGGACAAGGGGATAGAAAAGAGGAGAGAGTAAATGGGGGAGGGAGAGCAAGTGGGGAGAAACAAAGGATGAAGAGAAAAGCAACTATAATCAAGAAAGAGAAAGAGAGAAAGATAAAGGAGTAAGTGAATCACAGAAGGCGAGAGAGACAGATTTAAAGGAATAAGAGGAAAGAAAACAAGAAAGGAGACAGGAAGAAAGGACCTGAAGATCGAGGAAGCTCAAGACAGAGATCAAAGATAGAACGAGAAGTGAGCGGGTTCTGTCTCAATACACCTAAGAACCCTGGCACCACCCGGCCTATCCCCCCGCTTACCCTCACACGACAGTGACCCAGAAGGTTCACCACATCCTCAAACCTCCCATTCTTCCTCCTGACACTTCCCCCAGCCCTGCGTCTCCTACTCTACCCTCCCATCGCCCTCCTACCTCTGAGAGATCTGCACCTCCCCCACCCTCTCGCTCACACATCCCACTCTCCGTCACTATCCCGTCTATCCTCGACAGTCGCCCATTAACTGCACCTGCACTCGCCATCTTCGGCCCATACCCCTTCTGCCCCCCACTCACCCTTCCTCGTTAGCACACGCACTCGCCAAGCTCTCCCTCACTCCCCAAGCTCTCGCCCACTTCTCCTCTCACCGCTTCCCTTCTCGCACCCTTCCCCCACTCCCTCTCCCGAACCTCGAATCTTGATACTATATTGGACTATAGTGAGTGATGTAATGAATTGGTTTGATCACCCTCCCAATCCCTCTCGCCNACAAACGCTCCGTCTGTGGTTTCACTCTCAGCGGCGCCTGAACTGAAAAGTTTTCTCAGGAAGAGGAAAGGCAGGGGCAGGGAGGGAGGGAGGGAGGGAGGGGGGGGGCGGCGGCGGAGGGAGAGGGAAGAAAAAAGGGAAGGAGGAGGAAAAAGAGAAGGAAAAAGAGGATAAGAATAAGGAAGAGGTGGAGAAGAAGAAGAGGGAAAAGATAATGAACAAGAGGAGGAAGAGGAGGAAGATAAGGATGATGATAAGGAGGAGAGGGATAAGGAGGAGGAGGATAAGGAGGAAAAGGAGGAGGGGGAGAATAAGTAGGAGGAGGAAGAAGTGGGGGAGGGAGAGGAGGAGGAGGAGGAGGAGGAAGAAGAGGAGAGGAGGAAGAGAAAGAAGAAAAGATGATGATGATGAAAAGGACGAGGAGGAATGAGGTGAGGATGGGAAGAGGATGGATCGAGTGAGGGAAGAGGACGAAGTAGGAGAAAAGGAGGATGAGGAGGGGGGGGTGGAAATGAGAGGGATGTGAAGGGGCGGAGAGGAGGACGGGAGGTGGAGGAAGAAAGTGCCAAGGAGGAGGGAGGGTCGGAGGAGGAGGTGGACGGCGGGGGGGGGGGGGGCTACAAAAGCGCGGCCGGCCGAGGACGTCGCCATTCCCCCGCACGGCGACGGAGCAGCGACTCGGCGATCGCACACGGTAAGGCGGCGGCGCTGCGGCCCCTCGGCTGAAGGCAAATCATTTAGAGCTTCTGGAAATAATGAAGGGAATCGTCTTTCATATAGACTGATTATGTTATAAAACATGATGACTTTCTATTGGTAAAGGGTATGATAATATACTCATTTTATTCTATAAAAACGGTTGATAATTTCCAATACCATTTTGATAATGATGTGACTGATGTGACATTCATTGCTGAAAGAAATATTGCGTAGATAAGTAAGATAAATATATTTTAAAACCAAAGAATGAAATACTTGTTCGAAGAGGTGACAATAAATTAGGATTGCGTGTTGCTGGCGGCCATTGTAAAAAGGGAAGCATAATGGCAATGTTAGTCGACACGAGGTTGTCGGTAAAAGGATCTTATTTGTCATAAAGAAAACTTACTTTTCATTAAAAAATGGACATATTAGTAGGGTTGATGCATAAAGGTCCATGATAGAGATAGAGCTATTGATATTGTTAAAAATAAGGAAAGTAATGATGATTACGATCACAGGAATGGGATAGCAATAGCCATGATAAGCATTCTTAACACAAAATAGCGGCAGCAGCGACAGCAGACCTGAGCGAGCGGGCCTGGAACAATATCACTGTTCAGGGACGAAATGCGATTCAAAGCTCCCGCACTTCGCTCGTTCCGCCGCCGGGGCTGCGGGCCCTGTTCGGCGCCGATGACTGCGACGCCAAAAGCAGAAAAGCAAAGGTCTGAAGGGAACGGTGGCAGTGACTGTGAAGTAGAAACAAATATGATCTTGGTTGTCTCTGTCATTCTTATAAGAATAATGAAAACGAGAAGGAAGGTACTTTTGACGATAAAAATGAAAAAAAAGCGATTGGAAGTAGTTCAAATACTAGAAACTATAATAATGAAATTTACAATGCCAGGAATCAGTAATGTTGTTAATAATGATAGTGATAATAGCAGTGATGATTGCATTGATAACCATTATAATAGTAATGATGTTGATAATATCAAATATTATAATGAGTATGATAATAGCTATAACAACAATGACAAGCCGAGAGCGAAAGCGAGAGAGACCAAAGAAAAGCCAAAGACAGAACAGAAAGAAAAAGCAAGTGCGGCGAAAGCAGAGCACAAAAAGCACCAACATCTCTTCTCCCGCCCGTGGTCGCCCTGATTTCCTCCCGACGGGTTACGGCGCCACCTGGCTCGATCTGCGCGGTTTTGCGGCCGAGGTGGTGGCGGCGGCGCGGGAAAGGGTGGAGGGAGAGGGAGAGAGGGAGCGCGGGAAGGAGGGAATGGAAGAAAGGGAGGAAGGAAGGGAGTGACTGATTAACTGAAAGAGTTTGTGAGTGAGGAAAAGATAACTTCCTAATGGCGCATTTAGATCCCCAGAGAACGTGACTGGACTTTTTTAAATATCACTTTCCTGTCTGCCTTCGCTCCTCGCCTGCCCTATGTCTCTCGCCTGGGCTCTATCCTGGGCTCTATCCTGGGCTCTATCCTGGGCTCTATCCTGGGCTCTGCTCCCCAAAGGAGGCAGGTCCGACGGCCATGGCTGCGCCCTCCGCTCTCCTCAGGTAGAGTCGTTGGCAGTTTCCCCTGTCCTGTGTCATGCACCGACGCTGCTGCCGGAGAGTGCGACTTCTGCATGAGATGAGATTATGGGAAAGTAATTTACGTCTTGGGGTTGATGAATTGCGGGTGAAGATAATGATAATGATCATAATGATCATAATATTATGATAGTGATGATTTCCATAATAAAAATAACGATAATAATAATATTACTTCTACTACTACTACTATTACCACTAATAATGACAATAATGATAATGATACTACTACTAATAAGAGTAATAATGATAATAATGATAATAATTGTAAAGATAATGATGGCAATAATGACGATACTAATGATAATGGGATTATGATAATAAAAGTAATAGTAGATTTGATATTGATCCCAATACGATGTTAAAAGTAATAATAATAACCATCATGATATTGATTATGGTGATAATACAATATAATGATAATGATAAGGGTCATAGTGATTGCGATAATGATGATTATAGTGACAAGGATGATAATATAACAAAGGTAATATTAAAAATAATAACAGCAGCAAAAAATAGTATGATAATAGTGATAGTAA